AAAAAAAACATAAGTCCCTCGTGGGCCTAGACAATAATAGGCCACCAATTCATGGTCAAACATGGCATTAAATGTATAAATCACGTTGGTAATCACCATAAATTTGTTAAGTCCGATCTTTACCCGTTTTGGCATTTACAATCATTCTCCTCGGTGACTTCAGGTCGAACCAATTAAGTGTAAATTTTGAAGCCTACATTCAAAATTAAGTTTGGCACCATCGAGTACATATTAGATCAGCACAAACTAGATCGACCAAGACTACACTCAATAGTTTGATACTTGACTACCTGGTAGAGGGACAAAATGTTATGAGCATTTTTAGGTTCAAAAGGTATATTGGTATTTTTTTTCCATTAGAGGCTATCAGTAAACAATCAAGGGTATTTATGACTTTTAGGTTAACTTGACATGCCAAGCTTACTTGACATGTATAGTGTCACATCAACTTGGCCACCTCATCAATCTACCCAAAAAGGCCTCTTTTATGTTACTTTGTCACTCTCTAAATGGATGATCAATGTCCAGATTAGCTCAACTTGTTAGGTCATCCTAACTACAAAACTAACTGTTAGGCTACCCCAAAACCCTTCACCTTCAACTATAAATAGGGCCATATATGTATTATCTAGACATATCATATTTTTCTACTTTAATACTTTCTACTTCTTACTCTCCTCTTTAACTAATCTCTGACTTGAACATCGAAATGTAAACATTGAAAAAACTTTCTAACTTTACCTTTAATTGCTCTTTTTCTGTCTTGTAATTTCAAGGTTTTAACCCCCCAACTTAAACTCGACATGAATATCGATCGAAACATCTTCTTCATTGATGATTCCTCATGCCTACACACGTTAGGTCAGCTTTGACATGCTTCGAAGAGTTACTTCATCCTGCTATGTCATCCATTAGTAGGGACGTGTCAATTTCTAATTAGCCACATAGTATGCCATATCATTGCTCAGTATGCCACGTGTCATATTTTAACTAGCCCATCATGTGAATTTTTTTTCCACATGTCACCTTTCGATTCATTCACGTCACTATTAAGTCTATTGTTTCAGTTTTTTATGTTTCCACATGTTGCATTCTCAAGCAATCATGACATCATTTGACTTTTCTAAGTTTGATTGGTAATAAGTATTTTCTTTTGACTGAAGAGATTGTCTAGCTTTCTTAAAAGAGGAAAAAGGCTTTGAAGATGTGTCACTGTTAAAAATTTTTAGGTTTCTTTGGCAGAATCTGAATTGAAGAAAGGGTAGAGGGGATTTAGAGGTTATTAGAGTCATTTTTTTAGGAATTTCTATGTAGTGAATGGTAGTGAACATTGATGGATGACGACAACGACAACAGCTATGAATTATCAAATTCTACAATAAAGGCTGTCAGTATGAATTTTGAAAAACTTGAGAAAAGTGGATGAACTTAGAAAGAGGAGAAGGGAAGAAATGAAATAAAGAATAAAAATAAAAATACAAAAAATTATAATATTTTAGAAAAAATTATAAAACATACAATATAAACCCTATTAATCAAATCCACATCAAACATATTTCAACCCATTTTAAAATTTTAATTTTAAAAAAATTTAAAATTAAGGTATTGTTTGGTATTATTATCAATTTTATATTTTATATTTTTTGTTTTAAGAATTTTTATTTTTAATTTTCTATTTGTTTTGTTTTGTTTTGAAATTTTGAAAATAGAGAACATGTTTAGTTAAATTATATTGTTGTTAGATTTCAAAAACGATAAATATAAAACATGTTATGCAAGTCTAATAAATTAAAGGGTTAAATATGAAAATGATCCATAAATTATATATTTTTTTATCAGTTTGGTATCTAAAGAAATAAAATTATCAGTTTGACATTTTAACTTTCATTCTATCATCCATTTTGGTACCTAAGACTAATGTCATTAGTCAACTTTGCTAATGTAGTAAGAAAATTCAATAAGATGCTGACACATATAAAAAAGTTTAGTCAATATCACATCATTAATTGTCACCTCAATATTAAAAGAAAATTTTTAAAACTTAAAAAAATTTTAAAAAAGTTATAAAAAATATTTAAAAATATTTAAAAACATTATGAAAGCTTAAAAAATTAAAAAAATCTCAAAATTTTAATAAAAATATAAAAAATTCAAAAATTTCTTAAAATTTCAAAACATTAAAATTTTGATAAAAATAAAATTTTCTTCAAATTAAAAAAATCACAAAAATAAAAAAATCTAAAATCTAAAATTTTTTGAAAAAGTCTAATTTTTTTTTAAATTGTAAAAAAAAAATTTAAATGATGAAAATTTTTCATTTTTTTAATCGTACAATTTTAATTTTTACATTTTATGATTTTATGAATTTGTTTTTGGATTTTTATTAAAATTTTAATTTTTTAATTTTTTTCGAAAAATTTTTAATTTCATATAAGTTTTTAGTCTATTTCAAAATTTCAAAAGTTTTTAATTTTTCAAAATTTTATAGAATTTTAAATTTTTATAAATTTTTAGGTATTTTTTAAAAAAATTAGATTTTAGATTTTTTAAGTTCTTTGTGAATTTTTTTTTAATTTTAAGAAAAATTTAGTTTTATTAAAATTTAATTTTTTTAATTTTAAGAATTTTTTGAATGTTTTTGGATTTTTATTAAAATTTTGAGATTTTTAAAATTTTTTATGGTTTTCATATATATATGTATTTAACTTTTATAGTTTTAAAAATATTTCATATTTTAATTTTTAATTTTTAATAGTTTTTAACATATTTTTTTATTTTTTTTTAAAATTTTAACTTTTTGAAGATTTTTTAATTAATTTTTTTGAATTTTTATTTAATGGTAACGTGATAATTAATGATACGATGTTGATTGATTTTTTTTCATGTGTCAAAATCTTATTGGAAATTCATATTACGTCAGTAAAATGACCAATAGCATTAGTCTAAAGTACCAAAATTATAGTAAAATGAAAATTTGAGTATCAAATTGGTAATTTTATTTCTTTAACTCCTAAACAGATGAAAAAATGTATAGTTTAAAGGCCTTTTTTATATTTAACCTAAATTAAAATATAATAATTTTTATTTTATAATTTATGAATGTGGAATATTTGATATAATAAATTAATTCTATATATTAATGATATTTTACATTTTACAAAAATTGATATATTAAAATTTTTTATGTACCATGATCAATTGATATTTAAATTTAAATAAAACATGATAAAAATGGAGTTATGAGTTCATAGCTAATTAAAATTTAAATTTATAAGTTTACAAATCTAATACTTTTTTATATATTATAAATAAAATAAAGTACAAATAAATAACAATTAAAAAAATAAAATGTTCGATGAGTAATCAAATAAGAGATCATACCTTATAGATAACGAATTTCCTAAAAACCAAAACTTAAAAAAAAAAAAAAAAAAAACTAGCTTAACTCAAAAAATAAAGCAAAAGAAAATTTGGTTTGGTTTGTAGACTTTCTCAACTCCTCTGTTCTTATTTCTTTTCTTCCTTTATTCTTTCACGGTAGTTCTGTCAGCTACTCACCTGTCAATTCAAAAGCATTTGTTTTCCAACAAAGACAGGATGACGAGCAACAAAAGCCTTGGGTAAGAGATTGTGACGAAAGCTTGAAGGGGTGAAGGAGAAGATTCAAAGATGGCACTGTAGCAAGAGGATTTGTACAATTTTAAGATGAAAAAAAAATCTAAAAATAAAAAGAGTTATCATTTATGAAAATCGAAGGTCAAATCTCATTAGAAAATGCTATTCATCTTTTGTTTATGGCCAAATTTATTTTTGAGAGTATTTTAAAAAAGGTAAGAAACACCAAATTGTTGTTTTTTTTTTTTTCTTTTTACAAATTTCAAAACATTTGAAAATATTGATTCGGGTTTTATAAAATTAAAAACAAAAACACTACTTCACACATGTTTTCTTTTTTATGTTATAAAATTTTCAATACAAAAACATAAAACTAAGAACAAGAACATTGCCAAACGTCACTGATTTACATCATCTAATTTGTATTTATCAGTTGGTGTCATACGTATCACAAAGCATCAATTACAATTTAACGTTAAAATTAACAATTATGCAAACGGAAAGACCAGAACATTACATGATTTGCCAACCAAAGACCATCAAATTAATTTTGGATGGTTATGAACCAATATTATATTCAATCCAATACTCGATTTCAATTAATGAAATTTAAGGGTCATGAAGTGAAATTTTACGAAACACTCGCTACCCAACAGACAATTGCCAACTGCCTTTCCTAATTAAATATTACTCTTTCTTTTTTAGTTTCTTTATTTTTTTTTTAAATGTCTTAAAATATATTTTGGTACGAGGTTTTTGATGTCTTGTAATTACTTTAAACCTCATAATAAATCAAAGTTGAGTCAAGTTATATCTTATAAAAAGATAAATTTTTTTAAATTTATTTTTTTATTTATAAGATTCAAAATTAAAATTTTACTTAAAAAAATGAAACTTTTTATTATTCAAATTAACAGACATCGATAATATCTTAAAATTATATATATTTTTTAACATCTAAATTTTTTTTTTATATTTTAAAATTAGATTTTATGATTTTGTTATTTTTGACATTAAAAATTATAAAATTTTAATTTTAATATTAAATATATTAAATTTAAAATTTTATAAAAATCAATATCGACCAAATAATTTAAATGAAGGAATACTCTGTATTGTAGTACAAAAATATGAAAAAAAAAAAAAAAAAAAGGAAAAAGAAACCAAATTGAAAAAAAAAAAAAAGATATCCTAATCTTTATGCAAATTCCCTTCGCGGTATCCGATTGTCCGAAAATTCGCATCTAAGATCTAATCCGTTGCCCGCGCTTCCTCGTGTTATTTCAATAATTTTAAAACCTGAATCGCAGACCGTTCATCGCAATCAACAACTCATCAACTATTCATCCAACGGTCTACAATTAACAACATACTTACACGTGTCTTCCAGTTCGTGTAATATCATTTCACGGCATTCTCGCTGCTCGAAACCCTCAACAAACTAATAAAAATTCCTTTTTACAAAAAAATAAAAAAATAAAAATCCTCTTAAAGATCTGTTAAGAAGTCGTTTCTTTCTTTCAAGTTTTCAATTTTCCCTCTTTGTAATCTCTTTTCCTTTTTCTCTTTTTAATTTCTCGTTATCCAAACTGCCTCTCTAACTTTTTTTCCCTCTCTTTGTTGCTCTGAGAAATGGAGATGGTTATGGAGGATTCGCGCTCGAGCAGCTCGCATCCTATTCGCTCCATGGCTTTCGAGGCTTTCTCTGCCGCTTTTCGAACGCGACGGTTTGCTAAGAATCCGATACCTAATTCTCCACGAATATCTGTAGTTGGAGTTTGTTAAATTGTTTTCTTCCATACTTAGTGTTTTATTTTGGAAATTTGTTGCTTTGACTTTTTTGAACTGTTTCTTTGCTTGAAACCTGGAAATTTGGAAGACTTGAAGTGGCAATATATAGGGTTTGTTATGAAATTTTATGAGAATTTAGAAGTTTATTTTGAAAGAATCGGTGAATTGAGTTTTTAGGGTTACGTGGAATATCATGTGGAAGTGTGGAAGAAGTCGGAGAAACTTAAAAATTTGAAGGTGATGGCTTTGACTGATGTTTAACCTTCAAATGAAGTTGTGAAATTTGATTCTGTTAGGACGTGTGTAAAAAGTTATAAAGGAAATAAAAACTGAATTTGAATTTAGTTTTTGTGGAATTGTGGATTTGCTAGGATTAGGGTTTTAATCATATTGTTTTGGTGGGAAATTTTGAATGGCTGAAAGGAGGGAGTTGGGATTTCCAAGGACAATTGCTTTTAGTTTAAAGGAACAGTTAGCAAGAACCACTCTTAACAATGTAAAATCGCAAGGACATACTTATATAGATCTTCGTGAGGATGGGAAGCGGTTTGTATTCTTCTGCACTTTGTGTCTTGCACCATGTTATAGTGATTCAGTGTTACTTGATCATCTAAAGGGGAGCCTTCACGCAGAGAGGTTAGCTGCTGCTAAGGTTACATTGTTAGGAACTAATCCATGGCCTTTCAGTGATGGTGTTCTGTTCTTTGGTAACTCGAATGAAAAAGAGAAGCAATTGGCAGTTGTAAATGATAATGAAAATAGGTTGTTGGAGTTTCAAAACCATGATAACAACCTTGCAATTGTGCAATATGTTGGCAGTGAAGTTAGCTCCTATAACAAGAATGTGAATGGTAGAGAAGGGGATTCTGATCTGGTGATTCCAGAGGTGCTAATAAAGGATGAAGTTTCTGACTTGAAAGTGAGTTTTATTGGTTTTGGGAAAATTGCTGCGAGGTTCTGTGAGAAGGATGGAGTTTCAAATGGTATTAGCAGAATATGGTGTGAATGGTTGGGGAAAGAGGCTCCAAGGAATGATGATAAGTTGAAGGTTCCAAAGCATGAATTTGCTGTGGTTACTTTTGCTTATAACAGTGATCTAGGCAGAAAGGGATTGCTAGATGATGTCAAATCACTATTAACATCTGGTTCCTCCAAAAAATTGGATAATGGTGAAGCTGCTAGTAGGAAAAGGAAGAAGTCATTTTCTGACCCAGAGGATATAAGTGAATCTATGAGTAATCAGTATGATTCATCTGGGGAAGACTCTTCAGCTTCAAATAGTGCTTCCTCAAGACTGGCATTGGATCGATATGATGATCAGCTTCTGCTCACAAGATTTATATCAAATAAGGCTATAAGGAGAGAGTTGAGGCGGCAACAGCGTATAGCTGCCGAAAGAATGTGTGATATCTGTCAACAAAAGATGCTTCCTGATAAAGATGTAGCAACACTCATGAACTTGAATACTGGAAAGCTTGTTTGCAGTAGTAGAAACGTTAATGGGGTATGATTACTGAACTTGGCTCTTAATCACCTTCTAAGTTATTGGGGAGCACTTTAAATTTGCATCATATTGGTCAATACTCAATATGACCGATTTCTTAATCTCAGCTTGAAGAATTGATTAACATGTTAACTCATGTACTGTTCCAATTTAAAGTTTTATTTACATTTATCATTTTTATTTTTTTTACATGTAGGCATTCCATGTGTTTCACACTTCTTGCCTTATACATTGGATTCTTCTTTGTGAGCTTGAGAGGGTTGAGAACCATTCAGTTAATCCAAAAGTGAGACGAAGATCTAAAAATCGAGCCAAACACAATGAGATGGGCAAGGATGGACAGACTAAACCTACAGGTACCATGATTTCTTCTGTACTCTGCCCAGAGTGCCAAGGTACCGGTATTGAGGTTGAGGGAGATGAGCTGGAAAAGCCTGATGTCTCACTTTCTCAGGTATGCATTTTTTGATCTTAAAACATTGAGCTGCTGTTCAAGAAGGAAACTTTTTGGAGTTGATTATGGTATTCAAATTATGTGGCATATATCTATGTTGGTTAACATGGTTTTTATTGTCCTTTCAGATGTTTAGATATAAGATTAAAGTCAGTGATGCTCATAGAGCATGGATGAAAAATCCTGAAATGTTGGAGAATTGTTCAATAGGCTTTCATTTTCCTTCACAGTCTGGAGAGATGGTTCAGGTTTTCAGACTTTTGCTCACCATTTCCTTTTGTTATATCAATGAAAACTTGGAGACCTTGTTTTCATTTAACTTTAGCATTTCTTGGTTGCAGGAGAAAGTATTGCCCCTAAAATTGATGCATTTTTACAGTGCTGACAAGTATGAGCCAGGCACAAGTTTCCTTGGATGAATTCTGCAGTTGACCCTTTTTTTTTTTTTTTTATGTTAGCGTGTAGGTTGTACTATAAGCAAATATGTGTAACCTGTTATACGTATACAGGTAAAGGCCACGGTCGTCATGAAAACCATGAATAGCACTTCTGCAATAGGATATTCTTGTCCCCTACCTGTATGGGCTTTGTAAATATCTGTTGTACATTGCTGACAACTGTCTGCATTGTAAATGAACAGGCAGTCAATGACTCAATGCTATGTTGACTTTTATAGGAGGAATAGTTTAAACTCATCTTGCCTCTTCGTCTGCTGTACCTTCTGTCGATAAATGGAAATTTTACTTCCTGGTTATAAGTTATAACATGTTTATAAATATTTTTTATTTGATCATTTGAATTAAAATTTCAGCACTTTATCAATAGAGTATATAGTCGGTGATTGTTGTCAAAATTCTTTGTTAATTGTGAGATTTGAACATTTTGTATTAAAAGAATAACATTTGTCAAATCTATGTTTCTTTTCTATAACAAGTTATAAATGCGGTACAACGGATTTGCTTTATCGAAGTCTATTGTGTTGGGTGTTAGGAGGCTGGTATAATGCAAAAACACTAAAATCTAAAGATGGTAAACAGCGTGTCCGGATTGAGTTGTTTATGGTTTAATTATTTTGGGTTTGAGTTTATTTTAAGTTTGAATTCTCTTGCTTTTGAATCTTTTAAGTTTGTTAGTCAGTAAGTAGGTGGTTGGGCTCAGTATATTGAGAACAACAGTAGTAAAGGTTAGCGGAGACGAGTAATGGAAGAGGTGATGGATTCTCTACGGAAGAACCTAAAATTAACAGAAGCGGAAACAAATTATATGGCGTTAGAGATGGGCAAGAATGCATCTGGCACAGAAGATAGGAGAGCGTGGTTAGTAGGAAGGCTACTAACCAGGAGGCCCTACAACAAAGAAACTATAAAAGGGGCTCTCAGACTGTTATGGTGGTTGGCCAAATAAGCAGATATTGTTGACCTAGAAGGAAATATGCTTTTGTTCAAGTTCGCCACAATAATGGATGCGAAGAGAGTGATGGAAGGAGCACCGTGGTCGTTAGACAAGCAGCTAACACTTTTCAAAAAGTATGATAGGAATTTTAGACCAAAGGACTAGAAGTTTGATAGAGCAATATTTTGGATTGGACTGTACGGCTTGCCTTAGAGATGAGAAACCACGAATGTGCAACAAGAATCATAATGAAAATAAGAGAGTTAAAAGAGATTGACGCGGCGTTAGACAAGGGTGGATGGTCAAGGTTTCTCAAGCTTAAGGGAAATAGATGTCACAAAGCCATTACGTAGGGTTGTTCTGATAGCCATTGAAGGAAATCTAAATCAAGTTTGGGGAAGGCTAAGCTATGAGAGACTGCCAAGTTTCTGTTATTCATGTGGTAAACTGGGGCATGTAGAGGACGAAATACGAATGTGAAGCCAAACCACAAACGGAACAAGAAGAGAGTGGAGACAGACAGTATGGGGCATGGCTTAGGGCATCACCACTAAAGTAGAAAGAGTCAGCATGGGAGAGAGGAAACTGTAGATACTCATGTGTCTCTCGGGTTAATTGGATCAATTTTTATTATTATTGTTATTGTTTTTTTGTTATTAGTATTTTTTATTATTTGTTATTGGCATTATATTATATTATTATTATTATTATTATTATTATTATTATTATTATTCTCTTTCCTTTATTCTTGATTGGTGATTGAATAAGGAAACTAAAATCAGGAATCGATCGAATCAATGGAATTTAATCTTGTATGGTTAATGGTCTTAAAGCAGAATCAAATCAAAAGACTTTTAACTCAATCCAAAAATATTAGGAAAAACCTAGGCCTAAAATCATGCTCAGATTGGTTTTGTCTGATCCTTAAAGTTTTTGCTAGGGATACCTATAAATCGGACAATATTACAAAGAACATGATAGGATTGAATTTTGGGCAAAAAACTCTATGTTGAAATTCTAAGAAAAAGTTTATGGGTTTAGGTTTCGGGAATTTTGGATTTAGATTTTTGGGTTTGGTTTGAAGTTTTTGGATTTGGATTTGGGTATCTAGGATTAAGGTTAAATTTTTAGAGGGTTCTGAAGGAATCTGAAAAAATCTAAAAATTTCTGGGATTTTTCTAAAAAATTGTGTTTGAAGGATTGAAAGATTGAATTTTTTGATGAGTTTTCTGACAAGGTTTGAATTTTTTCAGTCAGTTTTTGTCCAGTTTTCCAGAAATCGGTGAATTTTTCAATTTTGGGTTGAATGTTCTTGTTTTTCCTAGAAAGAAGTTAGGAAATTTTCGGTTAGAGAAAGAAAGAAAAGGGAGCTTCTGAAGATAAAACGGAGGACTTGGCTTTTATAGGGTTTCAAAACTACATTGCTTTGAAGAGCCCAGATTTACTTGTAACTCGAATAGGATCCACGCATCACCTGTGATTTGACTTAACCCGATCGTAAGTTTTTTTTTTCTATTTTAATTTTATTTTCTAATTTTATTTATTTATTATTTTATAATTTGATTTTTATTTTATTTATTTATTTTATTTTACTGATTTTATTACTTATTTACTTTTATTGCAAAATTTTTTTATTTCTAAAAAACAATACAAAAAAATATAAAAAATCTTTTCAAATAAATTCATAAATCCTGACAAATTATTGGAGAATTTTTATGGATTTAAAATTTATAATATCCACCAAACTATTGATAAATTTCATAAATAAATTTAAAAAAAAATAAAAAATAATTTTTATCTTACCAAAATATTGGGGGATTGCATCTTAAGTTAAATCTTATCAAATTATTAGAAGATTTAATGAATTTTCTTAAAAATAAAATTTTATAAATATCTTTCAAATAAAATCTCACAAAACTATTAGAAAATCTTCAAAGTAAATCTTACCAAACTATTGAAGGACTTTACTAGTTTTTTTGAATAAAATACATTAATAAATTCAACGATGGAGCTTTTTAGGATAGAACACTAGTTTCTATAAATACTCCTGAGATGAGAGAATTATCTTAAATTGTTACAAACTATTAGAGTAATTTTAAGATTAATTTTGAATATTAAATATTTTGTAAATCATAAACATATTTAAGGTTTAGATAATTTAAAATCAAATTGGTACCATTTTCAGATAGGCATTATAGGGTTCTATAACTTTTCTCATACGTAATCATACTTCTGAACCTAATGTGGACATCAATTCGTCCAGAAAAAAAAAATAAAATACGAAATAAAAAAAAACAAAATATGAAATATAAAAAAAATACCAAAAATAATACAAAATACAAAAAACAAAAAAAATCGAGGATGGCAGTGGTGCCTTCCCCGACACCACTGCCACCATACCCTAACCCCTCACCCCTCTGATCACCTAACCTTACTGTAAATGTTGTCAAAAAAAAATAAAAGAGGCATGGGGCTCGTGCTTACACCCCATGCCAAGCCCTATGCCCTTCCCTCAAGCACACACACAGTCAGAGCTCTATAAATAGTGCTTATAGCCAATCCAAAAAAAGAGACAGAAAAGGAATGAGAGATTCTACCAAAAATAAAAAAAAAAAAAAAAATCAAATAGTCCTCCCCTAAGGAGGAACCCAACGTCGAGCTTCCTGCATGAAGAAAAAAAAAAGGGGTCAGTTTCAAAAAAAAAAGAAAGAGTCAAAATACAAATATAAAATAGTCTCACTGAAACTTTGAAAGCAGATCTAGGGAAGTGGAGACTCTTTTTGGTGAAAAGGAGGTCGAATCTGTGTTCAGGAGGTCAAAAGGAGTTTGTGGGTATTTTTAAAAATTTTCGACACTGACGACTGCGGTCGAAGCTCATAGCCAGCAAGGACTACTGCGGTCGTTGCGCGACAGAGGACCACCGGCCCAAGGTCGGCTGAAATAAAAAAAAGAGAGAAACAAAAAGTTTTTTTTTTTTTTTGAGGAACGAAGAAATGAGTGAAAAAAAAAATTCTTAACTTTTATATAAGCTGTCAATAGCCAAAACGAGGTCGTTTCAATAAACGCCCAAAACAATGTCGTTTTAAGCACCCAGAATCCGCATCAACCGCGACCCGACCCAACGTCCGTGCACCCGACCCGTGACCCGCTTCCTTCATCAACCTTTGATCAGTCGAATCGTACCGGTACCGAATCGCTAAACCAACTAGATCGCGCCCAGACCGAGCAAATCGTACCCGAACCGTCGATCGAACCATCGAATCGAACTGTTGACCGGACTATTGACTAGTCCGGTTCAGGTAAAATTTTTTTTTGAATTTTTCTTATTTTTTTATATATTATTTTATTAATATTTATGCATATTAAAATATTTATATTTGTTATATTAAATGATGAAATATATGTTTTAAATTTTTTTATAATTTTGTTAATTTTTTAAAAAAACTTTAAAAATAAAATAATATTAAAATAAATTAATAATATAGATACTAAAGTAATAAAAAATGAGAGAAAAAGAAATTTTTATCCGATGATGAGATTCAAAGGTATTCCGAGTAGTGATGCCTAAGAAATCTTTAGGTGAGAAGATTTTTTAAAAAATATTACTAGTGTATTGGAGTATTTATAAAAAAAATTTCAATAAAAATAAAAATTTTCCTTTTCTGGTTATAAAATAATAATAAATAAAAATTGATTAATATATTTAAAATATAGGTAATAAAAATAGGAAGAAAAGAAATTTTATCCAATGATGGGATTCTAAAAGTATTCCGAGTAGAGATGCTTTAAGAAATTTCTAGGTGAGAAGATTTTTTGTAAAATATTACCAGTGTATTGAAATATTTATAAAAAATCTTCAATATAATGAAATTTTCATTTTTCTTGAAAATTTTAAATAAGACTATTAATAAAATAATTAATAAAATTTCTAACAAAGGAAAATAAAATGTGTGCATCAACATGGTAACATTTTGCATTGCATGGATGATATTTTTTTACGAAAAGTAAATTTGAGCTTCCGAGGATCAGATTCTAAGGTATTCCGAGAAGCGATGCCTAAAAAATCTCTAGGTGAAAAAAAGTTCTTCTAATGTTACCAACGTACTGAAATATTTTAAGAATTATTTCAATAAAAATGTTTTAATTTATTTTCCTGAAGAATAAATTTTTTTTCTAATAAATAAAAAGTTAAGGAAATTATTTTTCGAACGTCGAAAATTGGACTATTTTTATCAAAATCAAAGGATAACACGTTAATTGGTACCGTTTAACGGGCGCTGTGGGGGTGCTAATCTTTCCCCACGCGTAACCGACTTTCGAACTCAGACTGTTTCGCAGACCGTAAAATTATCTTTTTAATAAATTCTAATTAATTTTAAAACTTTATTAAAAAGATAT